ATGATTTATTTCTTTTTCTGTTAAACTGGTTTCTGAGCAAGAAGGGTTTTAGCCATGCACATAGCAGAGCAGGTGATGGTAACAGAGTGTCATTCGAAGGTGGTGTAAGAATCCCACTACACACACATAGGACAGCTGTACCCAGTACTCAGCTAATATAGACTTGACTAAATTCAGACTGTGTCAGCACTGTGCTGCTGTGGGGGATGAGTTGTGTATGCTGCTATGCAGATGGTGCTTTAAGCGCAGCGGATTACCAAAGCCTGAGCCAGCTCCTCATCCCAGCATTCCTCCTCCACTGTTGAGGTAGGCTCCACTCCTAGCTGTCTGTATCTGGAACTGTGACGGGGACTGAGAGTGGGAGGGAGGGCCATAAGAACGTTATCAGTGTTTTGATATTACATTAATATTTCACCAATTTGCTTAAAATAACCATTAAAACATATTCCATGGCATTTGCATCAGGTTGCTAAGATCAGACAATGCTAAGCATGAACTGCCAACCACTCTTTTGCTTTTTTCAGTCACAAACAGTTCCCCATCAACCACAAGGGGTCACTGGCCTGCAATGGTTATTTCTCTCACTGCTTACACTTTGGCCAAATGACTGCCATCCATAAACGAAAACTACTCACCCAGCAGCTCCTTTTGTTTTGCTTCTGTTTTGCATTACTTCTAATTTCAAATGTTGAGTTGTATTCGTGGACTCATCTGCCATCAACAAACTTTAAAAAGTTTTGACATAAAAGACATAAATTCTCCTTCAGCACTTTGGTTACCAGACCAGGGGGTTTGCAATATTCCCAGTAACCCAGCTTCAGCAGGACAGCTGGAGCCGGGGTGGAGCTGCACCTGTCCCAGGGTGGGCCGGTCCTCTGCGCTGGGTCTCAGGCAGCACAGGATTAAGTCCCTCAGCCCTGTTACAGAGACATCAAAAACATGTGATTTGTCAAAGAAGACAATGGGGAGTGTCTACACACAGCCCCTCCTGAATGCTCCTTACCTGCTGACAGTCCTGCAGGTAAATTCACCTCCTGCATCCTCTCGGGGTGAAGGTGGTGAATGGAAGCTGGCCACAGACCATCTCATAGACCGTGACTCCTACAGACCACACAGTTCCAGGGCCTGCCAGGAACTTCTCCTCCTTGAACCACTCCAGGGACTGGTAGCACTCAGTCCCTGATAGACAGACACATCGTGTCATGTTATAAATACTTCCCACAGCTTGGCATCAAGGGTATTTTCTGATGTATTTACAAGTAATGGTTGAAATGAAGTTTCGTAAACCCTATTAGGGTGGAGGTCTACTCAGTTGTCAACCTTTTTAAACCAATCAGACTATTTTCCTGCCTGTAATTTCCTCGCACTGACCAGAGAATTCCGTGTATGGAGTGTCCTTCAGGAGATCCCCACCCGAAGTCGATCAGTTTGATGTCTTTTGTGTCGGTCTGTATCAGGATGTTCTCAGGCTTCACATCCTGGTGCACAATCCTGCTGTCCTCACAGTGCTGCAGGGCCCCCAGCAGCTGGCACGTGATATTGGATGCCTCATCCTCGTTAAGGGCACCCCCCTGATCCTGGCAGTAGGAATAGAGGTCCTTGCAGGGGTTAGGGCGCTCCATCGCCATGACGTAGGATGACGGCCTGTCAAACCAATCATGAAGCTTGAGGATGTTGGGGTGAGATGACTGGTTGTTCACAGTCTTTATCAGCCCCACCTCCCTGGGCATGGGCCCTTCAAGTCCAGGCTGGGGAGAGAAAAAGGCAGGAAGTGTGTTGAGAGCTGATATGCACTCACTCAGAATGCCATCACTAAGCTGTAGCAGCACACCAAAGCATGTCATAGCATAGCTGGCTCAGTCAGTAGGTAACAAGCTAAGTGCCTGAAAAGGTTTTTATGTCCAGTTGTTGGTTGACAGGTTTCCTTTCACATTTCCAATTCTCTCTGACTGCTATTCTGACTCATGGTGCACCATTAACTTGGGCTTCCATAAATTATGAGGTTCTTATCAGCTCAATTTCATCATCATCACATTTTTGGACATATTTCAGTGCCACCTAAGGAAAACATGGGGTATGTGAGCAAAGTAAAATGCAACACTGAGAAATGCATTATGGCTTCATGATGATAAACAAGAACAAATGATATGTATATAATTACTGCTTTGCCATTTTACAAAAAGTGATGATATTTTAAAACAGGATACACTTAAACAACCAAACATAATTAAAAAGATGATTAACCAGCTTTGGACAGATTAAACTAAGGGAAAGAATAAAATGACAACAGTGGCATCATATTGATTGGCTACTTACAGACAGGCCACCTGATTTGCGGGTCGCCGCATAGACGGAACCAAGTCCTCCGCGTCCAAGTAATTCGCCTTTCTTGTAGAAATTGTCCACACATGCTAAAACACAGAACAGAAACTATTGTCACTGGAATGGACTTCAACTGTTTTCTTTGTGTTACCATATCAGTGTTCGTCGGTCCCCTTGTATGTGACAGTGAGTATGGAATATGAAGCAATTATTTCATTACATCATGCAACAATGAGTAATACAACAATGAGTCTAAATCTCAGTTCAGTTCAATTGCTAATATTCAAAGTTAAAATTCATCACTACTCTTGCTTTTACTTGCAGTTCCACACAAATCCACTGGGTGGGCCACTCCAAAATAGTCCAGCAAGAACGACAACATTTTATCTCTGGCATTTACCTGATGTCTTCAGTCAGGTTAATTTACACAGCTTACATCTCTTCTCAGTATCCCATCATACAAATATTTACTAAAACAATTCAGTGAAATAACCTTGCTCAATGGTACAATGGCAGCACCCAACTAGGCAACCTTAGCTATGGCCTTTGAGTTACAAGCCCATCTCCCCAGCCATTCCCCACTGCCACAAGATCTGCTACCATGAACACTTCTGCATGCCAGCCTATTGTGTCTGAATGCCCAACTGGGTACAAATTCAGCTTGGCATCACTTTCAGTCCTGAGAAACTTTCAAACCACCACCCTTTTAATTCGATGGCCTTGAGCATGTCCTGGTAGGGCTGTTTCCAGAAGTTTGGCCAAACTCAAAGTATTTAGATAGAGTAACTATCTAACACTTGTTCAAACAGAGTTAGTCCCAGCTCACACATCACACACATCAGACACACAACTTCGTAGTGATACAATGATAGGGTACTGACTATGGTTTTTAGATATGCATCTACAGTCATGTCTCTCACTGCCTTGATATACAAAAAGAGAATGATGATGTTCATGACATGCACAATGACATCACCCATCACAATGACGAGATCCATGCTTTTAAATAGCAAGCTGGCGTCAGAGAGAATCTACCCCCATTCCTGTCAACACTGCAATGCCTTGGATGCTGTGATCCACTTCCTGGAGTGTGTCCCATCAGGAACTGAATTCCTCTGTTTAAAGTGTGACGTTGCCATTCACAAACGGAATGTATTTCATGACCTAGAGGTAGGGTTGCCACCTGTCCCGTAAAATACGGAATCATCCTTTAATTGACAATAAAATGTTGCGTCCCATATTGAACCATACGGGACACGGTATTTGTTCCATATTTTCATAAATGTTCAGTGCACATGTCTGTCACACACATCGACACCACACCTAACAATAATGAACAATGAACGGGATCTACGCAGGACAAAACAACCCCCTCCGCTAATGACATCTTCACGACAACACTACAACTGTGGTGGGTGTCCCTTGTTTTCGTTTCTGAAAAGTGACAACCCTACCTAGAGGTCCGCGGTGTTGCATGCCAGCACCAACTGCAAGGTAT